TCAGAGGCAGAGTCACTCCAGCTTCAGGAATGCAAAGTGCTGATGCCATGGGCAGGGCAAACCAGCATTTAACCAGAAGTTCACCGTGCTGAAACCATCAAGAGGACATGCACAGGCAAACAGGAGAAGCACCAGCCTTGGGCACCATCCTGCTGCTGTTGGAGTTTAAAGACCTGTGGTTTGTGGGAGATGGTTTCCCTCATTTCCAGCTCCACTGTATAAGGATTTATGGTTCACTCCTGCACCAGGTGATCTAGACCCTCAATTTCCTAGCTAGTCTCTCCAGGTACCATGAATTTCCTGGTGAGAGATTTTCCTAGGGCTTCCATCTGTCTAGATTTTTAATTACCCTGTTGATTGGACACATGCCCACCTGCACTCTCACTTAGTCCTTGCTGTGGGAAAGAAAGGAGATCTTGCAGTCAGATGATGGAAAAGACCTTGGATATGTCCTTGCAAAGACTGAAATGTGTATTCCTGTTGATTTCTTATTGCTGTTGGCTCCCTGGCCCTGCTGGCAGCACAGACAGCCCTTAATGTATGTGTTCCCTCCATCCTTTGCCGTGGCCAAGCCTGAGATAACAGGAGTGAGAAGCCAAGTACCTGCCACTGTATGAAGACAGGGCTGTTAGGTATTAGCTGTAAATCAAAGGCTTGGCCATTGGGACAGCCTTTATCCCCAGTGAGTCTGTGGAATTGCTTTGGAGCCTGCTGAGAGATCTGGAAAAAGGTGCTTTGATCGGGGAGGAAGATTCCTCCAGAGTGAAAGCAAGGAGGAATGAAGGGTGGCTAATCCCTTATCGAGGCTGCTCCCCAAATATGGATTAGGCCGTGTTTGATTATCAGGGGCTGTTTCAGAGGCCAGTGGCTAAAGCAGATGTTTAAGGGACAACTGATGTATTATGAGCACTGTTTGCACTGGCCCCCTGATACCTGGTGCTTCAGTCACTCCTGCAGTGTCAAGGAGCTCGCTCCTGCTGGGGAATCAGATGAGGACAGGCAAGGAGGCGCTGAAATGAAATCTCTAACCCTTCTGCTGAATTTGGGGGTTTTGGGAGCTCAGCAAATCCCTAAGGAACTGAGCCAGCACCAGCCTTGTAAAACCATCCTCTGCAGGAGGGCTTGGGTGCGTTAATTATTTATTTGAAAGGCTTAATCCTGGAGGAGGCAAACGCCTGCCAGAACCCTCCTGGAAATCAGGCCCATTCTTGTGCACATTCTCCCCTTTTCACTGGTGAATGTGACATTGGCCACGGTGTTACGGCTGCAGATGAACCCCCTGGTTGCTGACACAGGGAGTGGTGGCAGGAGCAGACCACAGGCTCCCACCAGCTGGTCCCCCTTCCCATCAGTCCGGGATGGAGAGGCAGCTGGTGGGACTTGTGAGGGCATTTTTACCCTGGGAGCTGCCAATCGGTCCCAGATGAAGATATTTCGGATATGAAGGGCACCTTATAAGCCTGTGTTTAGCAGCTTTGCTGGGACAGAGGGGTGGTGAGCAATATTCCCTCTTTTGCAGGTGGGAATTCGGTGTGGGATGATGAACTGATTGGTTCCAGTCCAGCACCCCAACCACGTGCCCCCAGTTCTTTCCAAGTTACCTGCCGAGCGGGCCGTGACTTTCTGAGTTGGATTTTAACTGCTCAGGACGGGAGAATTGCTGATGTTGTTCCCACCTCCTTTAGACCTTCCCTTTGCCTCTCCCTGCTATCCCAGCCGGTGTGGCAGCAGCAGCCTCAGAAGCAGAGTGAAATTCACGTCCTCACCTCCTCTTTCATTCTGCAAAGTCGTTAACGCGAAATTGCCAAGCAGAGAAGCTCGGGAGAGTTTAACGTGGCTACTTTATATTGCTGCTAGGAGTGTCTGGAATTGAAAATAAACCTGTGCTTGCAGCTCCTGACCCTTTCATCATAAATCCAAACTTCCTTACGTGTTCCCTCTTTGCTGCAGAAGATGACTGTGTTTCTGTCTTTACAAAGGCCCGCGTGCAGCTGAGAGCCACAGCTGTGCAGGAGCCGGGTGGTGTTTATTTGTAGGGTTTTGCTTGCTGGCGGGTTTTTTTGGCAGATGATCCCCAGAGGAAATAACCCAAATACGTTTAAATGAAAATAGTTTTCGTGTGGCGTGTGGCTCGCTGGCCTCGCTCCTGTTGCCGGGGGAGGGCTGTCCACACGGAAAACCACAGCTCTGGGACGGCTGCTCTGGCACCCACCCAGCAGCACGTGAGTGGACGTGGAATCCTAGGATAATTTAGGTTGAAAGTGACCTTAAAGACCACTCAGTACAATTCCCCTGCCATGGGCAGGGACACCTTCTCTATCCCAGGTTGCTCCAAGCTCCATCCAACCTGGCCTTGGACACTTCAGGGATCCAGGGGCAGCCACAGCTTCTCTGGGCAACCTGTGCCTGGACTTCATCACCCTCATCATAAACAATTTCTTCTTTATATCTACTGTGAGTCCACTTTCTTTTAGCTTAAAACCATCACCTCTTGTCCTGTTGATACAGACCCTACCAAAACTCTGTGCCAGTAATTTCTCTGTAAGTCCTTCCTATAAGGATGTGCCCTTCCGTAAATAATATCAGGGAAATAGGATTAAATGAATAGGCTTAAATTTAGTTTTGTGTTTGTATGAGGAGAAACCACGATATCTACCCTTTAATTGCAGCTGTGAGCTCAGCTGGAACTGGGTCCAGTTTGATGGAGGAGGAATTAACCTGGGGCAATTAGATGAACTCTCAACAGGTGGGAGATGAGCTGCAGGTCAGCCACAGGTGGTTGTACTTGATGCTGGGATTTCTGGGTCTGTATCTTCTGAGTCTGCCAGAGACTCCTGCCTGAGACTGGAGGTTCTGGATCATGCAGGAAGGCAGCCAGATAATTGCATGGGTCCTTTCTGGTCTCGAGTGCTTCAGCTGGAGTAGCTGGTTTTGGCTGTGCTGCAGGGAGGGGAGTGTGTGGGAGGCTGAGCTGCTCCAAGGAGGATGCCTCTGACAGTGCCAGCTCTGCTTGATTTGGATCATTTCACTGCTTGTCAGTGTAATTTCCTCTCATTGGAGATGGGGCTTTGTACACTGCACCCAAGGTAAGACGTCTGCTGGCACCATTAAGCTTCTCATCCTCTCGGTGGTGAGGAAAGCTGTCTTGTTTTCCTTAAAAACTTTCTTCCCTTTCCTCTCTTTCTGCCATTTGGGAATTTCTTGCTTTCAGTCTGAAATGATTCTTTTCAGCTTGACAGACCATTAGAACGAGCACTTATGTAGTTTTATTATACCCTTGAAACACAAATCGTGCTAATTTGAGAGCTTAAGAGTTGCTGGTTGAACTGTGCCTCACTTAAAGGCTTGGATTCTGCTCAGATCCAACATCCACAGCACAGTTCAAGTTGGAAGGACATTAAGGAGCCTTTCAAGTATGATGCATCTTTCTGTTAGACACTTAGGCTGTGTGGATCATCTGGAGTCCTTTTGCTACCAGCTCTGTGGGAAGGTGTATTTCCTTCCTTGACATCCCTCCTTTCCTCTGCTGATTATGGATTTCCATCCTGACCTACGTGACAAAGCTGGGATGCAGATTTATCCTGGGCTTTGTGCTGGCATTGTGGGCTAGCAGCATCCTGCCTGCTGCTGGTTGGGGCTGTTGATCTGCTCTGTAATTGCTCTTTGAGCCGGTGTTTTAGCTCTGAAAGGGCAGTCCACAAACACTAATGACTCTTGCAGGCCAGAGCTCAGCATAGCTGATCCTTACTAATGGCTCTTCGAATTCCTCATAGGTTTTATGTATTTATAAACACATTTAGGACACATTATTCTTCCACTCAGTAAAAACCATCTGTAATTATTGCCTGTAATTGCTGGGTGAGGCTAAAGTGAGTCAACTATCGGGCTTTTACTGCTGGTGAACTCAAGCATGGAGCAACGCAAATTCTAGCCATGTTTCCAGGAAGATGTGAGCTCACACAAAGAAAATTGTCATGGTCCTTTATTACTGCTGCATCAAAATTAGGCAACCTTCCTATGCAGTCCATTATTGCTTTCCTAGGCCTTAGTCCAGCAAAACATTTCAAGTGGATCCTTAACTTCAAATCTCTGAGTGGTCCCAGAGAAGTTAACAAAGTCCAACTGCTTTGGCAGTTGAATGCTGGGATTTTGGGGGCTTCAGCTTTATTTGACTTATTCTGTGGAGATGTGTAACTTATATTAGTTTTACCTACTTTGGGGGTGCCTTAGGGTAGAAGAGGTGTCTGCACCACACTGCTGCTGTGCTTCTGCAATGCCCTGAAGCCAAGGAAACACCCTCAGAGATATCTCTGGGAGCACCTTCAGGTACTGGAAGGGGCTCTAAGTTTATAGAGTTTAGTTCTTACAATGATCCCTGCTGCAGATTTGACCTGGGCTGACCATCTCTCTCCCAGACAATTCCTGGACATGCCTTGGAGAGCTGTAATATCCAAGGTATAGCATGAGCAATCCTGCTGATTTTGGAATTGGGAGGATTATTTAGATTTCATAGATGTGATTATTATATTGGGTCTTAGGGCCAGAGGGCAAGTCAGGATCTTTTTTATTTTCCAGGGCAGATTTAACTCAGTGGTTCTTACTCTGTATCCTATGAGAATAACCTGCATACTTTTCTTTTTGACAGATCTGGGTATGTTTAAGGCATTTTCAGCAGATTTTGTCTTTGATTGCTGGGCCTTGACTGGTTGAACTGACTGGTAAAGCAGTAGGAAAAAGGCTCAAAGTAACTTATCCTGCTGGGCTGTCATTCCAGACAACCAAGTTTCCAGTTTTCCTTCTGCCTGTAACTCATCACACAACTTTTGGACAAACTTTTTTTTTTTTTTGTTTTTTTCCACCTCTCTGTTTCTCCAGTCCTCACGGGTTTGTCAGCTTGCATAAATTACAGACCTGTTATGCAACAACGGGTGGATACTTCCCAAATGGCTGAAGAATGGGTGACTTCACTTGTTTACACCCTCTTTCTCTTTTGTTTGCAGCTGTTAACAATTGACGACAATTTCTGTGGCCTGGACATGAATGCCCCCTTGGGAGTATCGTCCATGGTGAGAGGGCTCCCCATTTTCACTGAGGATGGAGACAGGATGACGTCTGTGATCGCCTACGTCTACAAGAACCACTCCCTGGCTTTTGTGGGCACCAAGAGCGGGAAGCTCAAGAAGGTAAGGCCTGATGTGGTCCTCTAACTCAGATTTTGATGGTTTTATGGAGATTTGCTGTGTTGCATTGAGTGTTGGAACAGTTTTTATGCTAAGGTGCTCCTGTTCCGAGGATAAAGTGTTTTAGTTGGCAAAAAAACTGTGTTTCACCCTTTAGGGATACAGAGAATCTGAGATAAGGATAAAAATCCTTCTTCCAAACTGTTGCTGATCAGGAAATGAACGTTTCTGAAGTCAAACCACACACCCAGTCACAGACAGACTTGATGCAATTCACATCCAACAGAATTGTCTGTGCTCAGACCATCTCTAATTAAGCAGTTGGTCACAGGGTGTCTCTGCATGCTGGAGGGAAGCTGGTTGTGGCTGAAGCTTAATCAACAGGATTCATACTCTGGAGATCTTTCAGTGTGACTGGGCTGTGATTTCACCACGAGTCCAGCACGGGATTAGTGGTTGTTGCTCTGTTTATGTCGGGGCCTGGTGCTTGTGTTGAAGGAAGAGCATTTTCATCAAAAGAAAGCTGTGTCTTGAAGGATAATGAGCTTTATGTTTATGGTTGATGCCACATAATCTCAAACACAATAAAGAGTGTATTGATGTCCTTCCCTGCGTGTTCTCACTAGAAATATGCCCTTTGCATGGCAGTAACTCTGCAGTTTGCTGTGTGAGGTGATAGCAGGGAGGCTTGAGAGGTGGAATCATCTACCTGTGGCTTTCTCATGGGAAAAAGAGGTATTAGAAGTGACCTTCTCATGCTGATGATGCACCTTGCCTCTATTTGAACCTCTCTGTGCCAGTCTGACAATATTTGTCTGAAATCTCAGCCCAGGAATGTTGTAAAATATTGTCTGTGCAAGCTTTGCCATGATGATGGTGAGAGTTTGGGAAGGGAGGTTGGGCAGAGCCTTGGGGGTTGTGCTGGGTGTTGTTCTCTCCTTGAATCTCTTTGGCAAGTAAAGACTTCCAAGCAGGGGAAAGGAAGGTCCTTTGAGAAGGTGACCCACTATGTCTTGGGCAGAGAGGACAAGGGGAAGGGAGTTTTCTTGCTCATGGATTCTTAAGGAATGTCTGAAATCTCTGGTTTCATTCCTCTACCTGTTTCTTCATTTGAAAAGAAAACCCCAGTTGTAAATTCAGATGGCATTTTCCCTGTGCTGAGGGAGGGCTGGCAAATGCCTCTGGCTTTGTCCAGCAGGGGAAAGGCTGCTTGTGCTTCTGAAAATATGTTGGGTTGTTTTTGTGGTTTTTTTTTTTTTTTTTTATTATTCAGGCACGTGGAAAAGGAGCCAAATTGTTTTCTAAGTGGTCATAATAAAAATAATCTCCTCCCCTGACTGATTAGGCTCTGCTTCCCTGTCATCTGTGATATCATAATAAACTGTTCAGTTCTCCAGTCAGTCTCTTGTAGGGGGGGGAAATGGGATGGCTGAGGTCTGAAGGGTAAATACCCAAAAAGACCTTAACAGTTAATGACTGCTGCCTCCCTGCACTCCCAAGCTTTTGGTTTTCACTTTGGCTCCAGGAGAAGCAAACTCAGCCACAGAGCTCTCTTTGCCTTTGCAGGTCACATGGCAGAATCCAAGATCTGATTCCTTTTTAATAGGGGAAAATAGGAGAGAAAGCTTTCCGTGCTTTAAGGAGTGTGGCAGGGAGCAGGACAGCCTTATAGGGTAAAGAATGAGAAGAGGGGAGCTGAAGTGGCTGATGTAATTCGAGAAAGTTTCACTTTATTCCCTTTTTCCTCATGTGCTGAGTGTTCTGCCTGTGGTTGTTACTGCTTTGGGTGCATGAGTTGGAGCAGGGCTGGAGCCTTGGGCTGGGACCTTTCTTGGGTGAATAAATCTCCACCAGAGAGGCAGAACACAAAGCAAAATGGGGCTCCCCAAAACACGTTGGGATTGTTTTGGACCACTTGAGCCAGACTCCTGGAATTATTTAGTTCCTGCAGGTTCAGCCCCGTCCTTGCTATGACTTGTGCAATCACTGACTATCCTTCACACTTTGTCCTCCCCCAGTGTTCCTGAGGGTGTCTGAGCTCAGGACACCAGGCTGGATTCTCCTTTGGGTGCTACAAATGGCCAGTTTGGTACTCAGGATTTCCCCCAGATGCTCCTTGGCCCTGTCAAGACTTGACAGGCCTTCTGATGCTTTGTTTTCCGTCTAGGCTCATCCATCAGGTGCTGGTGAACAGGAAGTAAGGAAAATACTGCATTGAGATTGCAACTCCAGCATAATCCATTATGCTGGCATGGTGTCTGTGCTCTGTTTAAAAAACAGTGGTAAATTAGAATGAACTTGGTAGGATTAGATGGAACTCCAGGTACCAGTGGACAAATCCCAGGAATTATATTTTTTGTTTGTTTGTTTGGATTTTTTTCCCTGCTGTTGGCTCCTACCAGGCATGGAATGTCCTGCTGCTTCTGGTACAGTGCAGCTACTCAGTCAAGCTGCGGTGAAACATTTTGGATAACAGTGAAAGAAGAGTCAGGAGATTATCTCTGAGATAGAAGTGGTTGGAAGACTTGCTGCAAGATGGTTTGGGAGGAACTTTCCCTTTCTTTCCCTGCAGTTTCTGTGTGTATTTTCCTAAGAAGGTGGCAGACTGCATATCTGATTTTTGATTTAGGTGATCCCTGAGTTCTCTGCAAAGCACCCACAGTCATAAAGCAGTACCTGTTGGCTGATATACAAATGTCACATGTGTCAGGGGAGTTTATCCAGTGGCACACACACACAACTGAAGCAAAATATTGTGCTTTGCGGGAGCATGTCATTAAAATGAAAACTAGCAGCCCTCTCAGGAAGTCTGCCCACGTAACCAAGACAACAAAGGGAGAAAGAAAAGGGGAAAAAAACAAGATAGAGATAGGGCAGGGAAAGTGTGAGTGAAACCCAATGACATGCTTGGCCCCAGCGATTTCACTGCCCCGGGCAAAATGCATTTTGCAACCCTTGCTCATTCACAGGGCTGCCTGTGCAGCCCATCAGGAAGGCACTGAATAATGTGCTGGAGAAATATTCCCTCCAGTCCTGCTGGCTCGGCCACAGCACAGCCTGGCCCCTGCAGAAGGAGAAAATAAACAGGATAAAAATGCAGAAAAATCCCCCATCCATACCTAGATGTATGGAGACCTCTGCCCTTGGATTAAAGGTTTCAGGGATGGGGATGGAGATGGGTGACCCAGTGAGGAGTGAGTTGGGAGACACAAAACTCTTGGTGTGTCTTCACTCCTCATTTTCTCTCCTGCAAATGATAGGGAATATTTTTCTTCCTCGAAGATCATTTGAGAAAAAATTAATGCATCAAGTGTTGTGAGGTGTGTGATCATATGGAAGAGCTTAACTCAGCAAATGAGATGGGAGGGAAAACCAGCTCCTGACCACTTGTGGGCATTAAAGATGCTGTGGTATCATTTAATGAGAAATATTTAATCTGCCAGTGCTTTGGTTTGACCCCAGTATCTGCAATTACCTCCTGTGCTGGCTGGTCCGTGGTGCTCTCAGTGTCTGCACCAGGCCAGCAAGAGCTGCCACAGCTTTAGCATAATCCAGGTGCCTGATGGGCTTCCTTGGAAGTGGATTCCTATGTACTCCAATGCTTGGGACAACACCCATGGCTGAAATTCACCCCTGGGAATTTTCAGTGATTTCTTTCAGGAGATACAAACCCCCCCACTACTGGAGTTTAACAAACATCTGTTTTGTCTCCATAAAAACAGTACAGGAGTTATTCCTGGGGTATGTCCTTCCTGCAAACCACTTTGCTGTAAGACAGCCAGGTGCCAAAATCCACTGGATTTTGATTTTTTTCCTTTGCTCAGTCTCTCATTACACGCTTGGCTCTTCACTCCAGGGGCAGGAGAAAAGCAGAGATGTACCCACGGAGATGTTTTGCACAGTTTTTTATGCTTGGTTTGGATCTTTTCTTCCTGGTGTGTCCACTAATACCTGTCATCACTAAGGGAGCATAGCAGGATTCCATATTCCTTGCCTTCCTTCCCTAGGCATTTAATTTATGGGTCATTGCTTTTGTGCAGATCATTTCCAGTCAAAGAAATACAACTTACCTGCGATTATTCTGTGTGTAGATGCAGGTGTAAAGGGCGAGCTGAGCTTACAAATGTCAGCCTGGGAGCAGCCCTGGGAACTGTACTTCCAACAAAACAGAGCTCTTGAACCGTTTTGAAATGTTTATTTGAAAATGGAGCAGTAGAAATTTCCATTTATTTGAAACGTCCCCAGAAGAAACAGGGTTTATTTATTCCATCCAAATATCTCACTTTGCAAAGCCTTTTCTACGCTAAATTCCTTGCAGAGATAGAACCTTGGCTTGAAAACCAATACTTTCACTCTGTGGCCTGGATTTCATTTTTCATCAAATCCCATCAGTTCGCAGACTTTGAAGGGCTTTTTAGATTTGGACTTGCCTTTGGGGGCGAGGGTTTTCACTCAGATCAGACAGCTCTGGAATCCAGCCAGCGCTTCCAACAGGTATCAGTTCCATTCAGTAGAAAATTGTCAGTATTGACCAGTTCCACGAACAACCCTCTGGATTACACTGAACCCTTGAGACCCTGCTTTCCTTGGATCCAGAGACAAAACACCACAGGGAGAACTGGAGATCTGAGAGCCTGGGTTATTTGCAGTTCTCCTTTTGGCCCATCTCACGGTGGTGGTGGGGAAGGCTGGCTTTCTCCGGTACGTAATTGGATTGGAAAGTACACGTGAGCCTGAGCTCCTGCAGGTTTCTGGATGTGTAGCTGGGGCTGCCCTGTCCCTGACAGCTCTGCTGGCTGGGTTTACAGTGCTGTTTATAGCCCACCTGCCTCAAAGGTGGAGTGGGAGCTGCTGACAGGTGTGGATGGGGTCAGCCTGTGGCTTGGAGAAGATGCACCTTGGCTTGTGGTAGGGTGAGGACAACTTGTAATCCTGAAGGGCACCCAAACCTGCAGGTCTGACTGAGGGGAGACCTCACTGCAGTCTACTATTGCAGTTCCTCA